TCTGTGATTCTGTGTTAGTGGTGTACTTGTTTAACACTAAAGAGCTGTATTCAGAAATTCTTGATGTAGGGATCACTTATTCCTCAATCTTCCTCGATACTTTGTGTTGTTGGTATGTTTTCTTTAATTCTTCCTACAGAGCTTTGAAGTCTTTCCAACCGTTCAAGACAGTCAGAACCCAGAAGCAGACCAAGAGGTTAGTAATGGTTTAATTTAACGCTTCTAAGTTGTATTAAAAACGGCACTGAGGTTGTATAGCTGTACACTTTCATGGCCTTTCCTAGTATTTTGCATTTTTGACTTATGATGTGCACTTCAAGAAATGTGGAGCATTTTTTTCAAACACTAAACAAACTTGATAAACTACAGCTAATCGGGAACTTTGTCAGTTAGAAACATTGCCTTTCTGTTATTCTCTGCTATGTAGGGGGACTTCATGGTTGCTTACATACTCTAGCTATCTCATTTTCCATCCTCTAACTTTCAAGTTGGAAAAGGGACATATTTTTTTAAGAAATACCTGTCAGGAAAATTGCAGTTTATGTAGCAAAAGATGGAACAAAGTTTCTGGGCAACAGGTAGAAAGGTCATAAACAAATCTTCCTTCCAGGCTGTATTTTGGATGTCTTTTGTGGACTTCTTATAGTGGAGGATGTGCAGAAAGTTCTCCTGGCTTTATGTTTGCTGTACTTATTTAAAAATTTTTGTGCTTTATTTTTAGTCAGTTTTAACACAACAGCATTAATGTGAAAGTGTCTTTTTTGGGAACAATTCATAAGTGATTACTTACACTTGATTTAATACATGCAATTCTTTTTCATTGTAGATGCAAATAGTTGAAGATTTGCATGTTGCTCGTGTTGAGAAGAGGATAGCGCTGTCTGTAGTACAGACCTGTGGAGAACTTACAAGTATGGAAATAGATCTTCCAGAACAGGATTTAAATATTTCTGCTGGTATGTCATGATTCGATGTTCACTGGTAGCTACTTGTAACTAGTTATTACAGTTGGTTAGTGGTCTGAGTAGAGAGTGCACAACTGATTTGGTTTTTATTTTAACTTTTTTTTTCTCTTTTTTGTCCCCAGGGGCTTTTACATCTGGTCTGAACATATTGGTGGTGATTGACACAAATATAATGATTAGTCACCTTGAGTTTGTCAGATCCTTGAAATCTGAGGATATACCAGGTATGTGAATACATAGTGATCAAGAAGAGATTTCTAAGAAAAGACAGATGCTCTAAGAACTTCAGGCTATGTGAAGAAAGAGAGACCTGGGTTCCTTGCAATGGCAGCAGGATTCATATAGGGGCAGAAGGCTCCCACTTAGGAGGCTGGGTCTGTGAACCCAAATAGACTGCTTCTTAAGGGAAGTTCAGCTATGAAAGCAGAACCTACTGTGCTTATATCTACATACCTGTAGAGAATCGTGGTCAACGTTCTCAGGAACGTACATGGATTCTTACAGGTAAATAAGTCTTACCTATTGTAAGAACATACTTTTAAGCATTTAATCCATTACTAGTGTTAATAATGTTTTCTACTCACTTTTTAGTGTTTTTTTTTCTAAAAATCTAAAAACATTTAAAATCTGATAAGCAGTCAATTAGTGCTTCATTTCTTTCTTGGTGAAGGTCACAGAATTCACACAATGTGTGAGCAGTTTCTCAGGAATTCAGATTGTAGACCTTGGCTTTAATGTTTGGCTGTAATATGTTGTGAAGCTTTTGGTAATTTAATGTTGGCAGGATGAGGATCGTGCGTGACAGTTGTTAGTAGACATACTTGGAATCTACCAGAATACCTAGAGTGCTTCAGTGCTTTCAGTTAATGAATACACTTAGTCTAGCCACATGAAAAATAGTTTTAATAAGGGCCTGAGCAATTTTCAGAAATGTGTCAGACTGTATTGCTCTTTCCCATATTAGGGATGGTGTTGCATTGTGTACACTGGGAGCTGCTGTCTCAGATGCCTTTTTTAGAATGTTGCAGCTCCTAATTTTTGGTCTTGCACCAGACCCATTTTGCAAAAGGTTCAGAAAGTTGTTAATTCCTGACCTGTTTACTACAAAGCAAATGGTTATTAATGTATTTTTTTAAAATTGTATTCTTATAATGTGAATGGGAAGGAAAACTGTTGAAGTATTTATCATAGGTGGACCAACATTAAATTTCAAATTGACCATTTATTTCATACATAATAGTTTTAAAGTTCAAACCATACTTGCATGCAAATAAAACCATGGTCCAATATCCATACTTCGTGTTCCTTGCTGAGGAATGCTGGTTGGCAATTAACACAAACCACTGCTCTGTTTATTTGACGATTGATTTTGCACAGTGAGTGTTGTGGTCATTCAGATATTTTCAGCTTGTTCTTTCAGCTACTGTCACCTTTCTTTAGCATCTTACAGTGAGTGTGTGATAGGATGCTAATTACTGCAAATATATTTTACAACATTGCTACACACTGTTGTCAAGTATTCTGTTGCTTAAAATTGGTTATTCCTTTTGTTTGCCTAATTTTTACATGTAACCAACGTAGTGCCGGTTAGAAGTTAGATTAGAAAAGGAGAACTTGGCCTTTTTGATTGCTCATTTTTAGAGCTAGATACTCTTGAACATGGAATATGAAAACTACTGGCAAAAAAGATAAGTGCAAACTTACATAAATATGATGTTTGAATTCAAAGCTAACTGTAGTAGTTTCCGTGGCTTTTCAAAATGTCTCTGATTTGTTCTTTTGTTTTGTTTTGTTTTCCCTTCCAGGGGTTGACAGACTTGCATTAATAATTCCTTGGGTTGTTCTGCAAGAGTTAGATAACTTGAAGAAGGGAAAAATGTTGCAGCATGTTCGGGACAAAGCTATCCCTGCAGTCCAGTTCATCTACACGTGTCTCAAAAAACAAGATTCAAAACTGTGGGGGCAATCCATGCAGCTTGCTTCTCAAAAAACATGTAATATATGTACAATCAATTTGTTTTGGCTACTTAATCTTTGTAGTTTACGTAGTCTGAACCTTAGGACTAAATTTTGACTTTAATACAGTCTTCACTTTGCAGTTTGCTAATTAAAATTAGCTCATGGCTTACAGCAGCCTTTGGGGCATATGTAAGGCTATAGTGTGCAAATCCCTTATTCAGATTAGTGCTTTGTTCAGTGTTGTTTTATCAATTGGTTTTCGCTTTTAGCTGCATCTGTTGGCAAGTGGGGTACTACTTAATGAAAATTCGTCTAGTTACTACTTTTACCTACGAGCTAAGGATTTGTTGTGTGCTTTTGCTTTTGACTCTGTCATCCTAAAATCCAACATAATCAAATTTATGTGTGGCTCAGTTGAAGTTTTTTGCCAAAACCGTAGTGGTTTTGAGCAGAGTTGTACCTAAGAATTCAGAGCTTTTGTGTTTAGAATACACTTCTCTCTCCTTGTTTGGAGAATATTAAATTTAAAAACAGTACCATGACAACACTGAAATATTTCTTATATCGAATTACTTCTGAACATGTCAGCACTGTCTTAACTAAATTTGCAGATGGCCTGAGTGACGAGAACAATGACGATCGTGTTTTACAATGTTGCCTGCAGTATCAGAACCTTTTTCCTCAAGCTGTTGTCATACTCTGCACGTGAGTTCCTGTGTATTTTCAGGTCTCTTATGAGGTATAAGCTAGTCTCATGCCAAATACGGCTTTTTCAAATCATATCTTGAAATGAAGAGCTACTTTTGAAATAAGATTTTTGAGGAGTGATCACAGTCTTAAAGGCTAGAGTAGAAGGAGAAAGTAGAAGGGCAAATCATGCTTGACAAAACTGATTGTCTTCTATGACAAAGTAAACTGCTTGGTTGATACGGGGTGAGCAGTGGACATTGTCTACTTGGATGTATCCAAGGCTTTCAATACAGTTTCCCACAGCTTCCTCCTAGAGAAACTGATGTATTAGTCTAGACAGGTGGCTTGTGTGGTGGATGGGGAGCTGGCTGACAGGCTGCACCCGGAGGGTGGTGGTAAATATTCCTTTTCAAACTGGCAATCTGTCACAAGTGGGGTCTTCCAGGGATTGATATTGGACTCAACGCTGTTTAATGTCTTCATAAGTGATCTGGATGATGGGATCAAGTGTACCCTGATGAAGTTTGCTGATGATACCAAACTGAGTGGGGAAGTGGACATTTCGGAAGGGGAGCCACCCTCAGGAGGACCTGGATAGGCTGGAAGAGTGGGCTAACAAGAACCTTATGAAGTTCAACAAAGACAAATGTAAGGCCTTGCACCTGGCAAAACATAATCCAGGAGTGCAGCACAGGCTAGGGAGCAGCTCTGTGGAAAGGGACCTGGGGGTCCTGGTGGATAACAAGCTCAGTATCGGTGAACAGGGTGCTACTGTGGCGAAGAGAGCCAACAGAATACTGGGTTGCATCAACAAGAGCACCACCAGCAGAGATAAAAAAGTCATCCCACTCTATTGAGCACTTCTCCTGGGGAGACTCTAATTGGACACAAGAAGACAGTTTTTCCCAATGAGAACAATCAGCTGTTGGAATAATCTCCCCAGGAAAGTGGTGGACTCCTTGACATTGGACACTGAAGGTTTGGCTGAACATGGTGCTGGGCCGTCTTGTTTAGACCGGGCACTTGCCAAGACAGGTTGTACAAAATGAAACTTGAGGTCCCTTCCAACCTGGTATTCCAGGATTCTGTGTTGATATAATAAAATGCAAAGACTGTGGATGTGATCACCTTCATGAGCTTGAGGCCTAGAGCAGAATTAAGTTTATTCAATGTTCAATTTAAAAACTTTTTAAAGTATAGCTTTCTCAGTGTTTATTCTGATTTCTCATTTTAAAATATTATTGGAGTTAAAACATTGGAAAAAATACTTGTATTACTGTTTGAGATATGGTTAGATCCTTTATTTCTGCCCACTTGGTTGGGAACAGTGATAAACATTGACAAGGTTTTATCTTAGAGAGAAGATGTAGATAGATTTGCCTCTACTCTTGTTCTGGGAGGATAGCAACTAACTTTTGAGTATTGATTCTCAAATTGATACAAATCCCATGAAGATAGTGTTTAAAGGGCTAATATTCCGGGAAAGGTACTGTGAAGTTTGCTTTGGTCTTTGCTAAAACCTACGTAGTTTCAGTAAGTGAGGTTAAGACCCTAGGTATCAGTTGGCTTGTGTAAGGTGGTGTGTGTGGATTGGGTTGCTGCTGAAAATACTGTTTCAATCGCAGTACTGGTAGGGCTATTTGAGGTTTCTCTGAGTAAAGAACAGGAGGTGACTTCAGAAGTGCTTTGCATCTGAAAATCCCTTTATCCTTTATCGTTATAAGCAATGGAAATTTTTGAGAAAGTACTTGGATCCAACTTTGTACTTCACCTTCATAGTAGTTCAGAAGCAGCGTATACCTCGGGGTGGCATTTGGGACAATGATTTGGTCAGTGGGACAGTAAAGAAGGGTGTTGAAAATGAGGATTTATTGTAGCAATCGAATAATGTGTTGCTGTCTTAAAATCATTACCTTGCTTGCATTCTAAGATCATAGCAACTAGGCATCATTGCTGAAGTATTTATAGCCATTTTTTTCTAAAATCAAACCTAGAGTCTGAAACAGTTTTCAGTACGTTTCTATTTTTTTCTGAATAGCTGCTTTAGTTAATTTTCTGGTTTAATTTTTTGAACTGTTTCTAATTACTTTGAGAAATAAAACTTTGCATATGATGAAGCTTACTGAAGACAATTTTTTCAGTTTGTGGCTTTTATTGTTGCTGTGTAATAATGTCAGTTTTATGTCAACAATTAATTCTCCTAGGGATGATAAAAATTTATGTAGTAAAGCCATTGTGAGTGATGTCAAGGCATTCTGCAAAGCTGACTTGGTGACTGCTCTACAGAATCTGAATGTAAACAGGCACCAAAGCTGTGTTGAGCTGCAACAGTCAAAACGTGGTAGGTTTGTTCAAAGTGCACGTATACATAGGCTGGGTTTTGAGACACATAATGATCAATGTAAGAGGGGAAAAATAGTTTTCACTGTAACTTCAGTTTTTATGTGCTTGAACACTTAATAATGCTTTTTGTTAGGGGCAGATTTTTTATTTTCAAAGATAAAAGGTGTCCTGAACTTTTAAGGACTGAAAAGTGGTTTTTCCAGTTGAGCCAGTTTGGGTTCTGTTCTTAAAAAATAATGTAAAATTCATTATGCTAAGATCACTCCTTACATTTTATGCTAATACCTTTACCTGCATCCCAAACAGCAGAACTTGATTCTTGAATTGCCTGTTCATTTTTCCAAATAAATAGAATATTAAGAAGTGATCTTATATTTGCTGCTAACCACACTGGCTGTATATAATCTAAGTTATTTAAGGAAAAAAACAATGTGGAGTAAGATCACAAAAGAATAATGCTCTTGGGATATTAATCTTGGTTAGTAGCTCATAATTAAAAAAAACCCGCAGTACAAATGGGTGTAACTACAAGCACTTGAAACCTGATTAGATGTAGCCCATCTGATTTATAACATAAAATGCAATCTGTCTGTATTTATGGCAACAAGTTATTTGTGTACTGTCAATATAAAATAGATATAGAAATAGTTGCAATTGGTACTTTTATTATCATTGGTTTGACAGATGCAGGATTTGAGAAAACAGAAAGTGGTGATACCAGTCTTACTGCACGATTCCCAGATATACTTCCAAACCTTGAAAAGAACTTAGGAGAAGCTTTATCTTGTATTTTGGAGACTGAAATGAAAATTGCATTCGGAAACCTGTGGATGGAGGTAGTTTCTTATTTCATCCAGCTTGATATTTCAAGTATTAAGAAGTTTAAATGTCCTTGGTATTTTAATGATATCAGTACCTGTGCTAAGCCAAACAGCTAAGTCATCTAGTTCGCTAATGTAGCCGTTCACTCAGAGCGAACAGTTCAATGTTTGGTTGTACTATTCGGTTTTATAACAAGACTAGTCTATTTGACTACTGATTACTGTGCAGTATTTTAGTACTCTTTTACTGTAACACTATTTACACTGTTCAGTGTAAATTTTCAGAACTCTTTGTAGTACTTGCATTAAATTTCTATTTTGGCTTTTCCAGTATGGTTAAATCACTGCGTTGTAAATATGTCCTTCAAGAAATTATTCCATCACATTTTATGTAGTGTTGATGCCCTGTTGTTGCAGACAGTTCTTCCCCATCAGAATAGGTGTTTTTAGACACTGTGGATAAAATTGCTCATAGCTAAATTGGTAACAATGTAGATACAGAATTACGAGAGTGTTAATGAGAAGCTCCAAACGCTCACTCTTTCGAAAGTATTGTTAACTGAAAATAAATACTCATGTACAAGACATCCAGATGATCCATGCTTTGGTTTAGTTTCCATTTTATAGCTGATAGAGGTTAGCTAGAAGTTTAAATTTATTGCAGCCTCTGTGGCTTTCAAAAACAAAAAAAGCATTTGCATGGGATGACTGTTGCTCCATAAGACAGAGCTTTGATTAGGTGTCAAGCTTTTAGGCACTTCTGATTAACTTAGTTGATTTCTGTTAACATCTTTTCAAACTGGTTTCACCTGGCAGTACCAAATTTCAATTTTATCGCAATATGTATATATTACTTCATGTGTAAATAGTCACAGTTACGAAGAATATGTTTATTTTTGCTTTTATAACAATACTAGAAAATCAAAGGTGTATTTATTGTTCTGGCTTTTGTACGCAAAAAATTAATAAATATAAACAAATATAAAATAAATACACATTAAAAAATTTAATCTGTACATTAAATCACTTCAAGAGATAACAAGTATTTGGAATATTTGAGGAAAAGGGAACCAAATATAATGAAAACGTTGAAATGTTATTGTACAGTGATCCCTTCTACATGAGCATCTCTTTAACATGAATGAAATATTTTTAGTAAGTAAACTTGTTAAATCTGAATATAACCTCATTTCTGATGAATCATTGAAATTCTACTTCAGCAAGCACAAATCATAACATTATTGAAGACTAGTGCATTTGTGAAATGTATAGGAATATGTCTATATGAAAGTCAGCCTTTGAATTATAGCATGTTATCTTTCAGATTCTCTATCTGAAGCCACCATGGACATTAGCAAACTTGCTGAAGTGTTATAAAAAACACTGGATGGCTGTTTTTGGTTATATTGTGCCAAGGAGTTTACTTTCAACTGTTGAATGTCTCTGTAAATACATTTGTACAGGTAAGAAATTCTGAGTACGTTAATTATAAACTTGTAAAAAACCTCAGTGTTCTGGTTTTAGTAGTTACAGAAGTAGATAATTTGAAAAGGCATATATTCTGTATGTTTAAATAGTAGTGTATTCCATCCTCTTCTGCCTTTTTTTCTTCAATTTAAGATTATCCAAATGGAGCCATACCTTGGACAGTCTTTTCTACTTCTGTATTGATCCACAATTTATTCCCTGGGTGCGTGACAAATTCCCAACACTGTTTTTGTAGCCTTAAAGCCAGAATTGAACTGAAATTGATGAGCTATGAATTACATTTAAAAAAAAAAAAAAGCTTGTGCCAAGATCAAGTCTGTCCAGAATCTGGTCCCAGGTGGCCGAAATATCACATGCAAAAATCATGAAAATTGTTTCTGAAATGGTTTTTGTTTTGTTTTGTAATTCAGTATTCTGCTGGCTTTTTTCTACTTTTTATACAAAGACAGTAAAAGCAAATGTATGGGCACTATCAAGTGTGTAAGAATTTCTTTCACACATCTCTATGTACCTGAAAAAATCAAACATCGTAATGAATGTATATATTAATGGTCCCCAAAGTCTCTGAGCTATTTTTAAAAAGCAAGTAATATTTCCCCCTCCCTTGCCACCATGTTGTGTGTGGCCAAATGATCTACGTTTGCCAAATAAATTACCTAGGAGTAAAGACTAATCAATGTGATAGATTACGGCATAGAGGTTTGTTTTCAAAAAAGCCAACAAAAAACCTTAATGAACCCTTTCATGTATTTAAATATGTCTTTTAAGAATTTGATTTTAGCAGATGCATCTGAGATATTCTGCAGAATTATTATCTGCTGTTCTGCAGAATTATTTTAGATATGCCAGTTCATCCTCCTGCCAGATCCTGGGATGGATTTGGAAGACTTGATTAAGAAGTGAGAAATCTTAACCTTGCACACATTTCTCTTGAGACTGTTTTATCTAATGCTTCTGAAGCATTTTCAAGGCTTTTTACATGGTTCGATTAATCCAGATATTTGTGTATTAAATTTGCCAACTAGGATTAATAACTCCTAACATATAATACTTTTTTTCTGTTTCCCATTTTACTGTCTAAATATCAGATAAAACAATTGACTCCTCAACAGCTGGTGTCTTGCTCCAGGAATCCAAAAAATTACTTCATGCTTTCAGTTCAAGGTCAGACTACAACGGTGTACTTCCCCGGGCTTATGCTGAAGTGAATAAGCTCCACCAAGCGCTTACGGAGGTAAGGGGAGCTTTAGTATTCGGTCACCTAACACCTTTTTGAAGTTGCTCTATGTTCAAATTACAAACCTGGCTTCGATTTCTGAATTATTGCCATAATTTCAACATATTATTACAGGAAATGTTGCTAGAGTGTTTTCCAAATTAATAGATCCCAAATTTAACTTTTATTTTCATGTAGCAAATATCTGCCTTTATGTGTATGCTTGGTAGACTTTTTTTCCCCCCAATATAAATGTGTTAATATCGGGAAGGTACCTGAAAAACATTATTTAGCTGCTTTCAGGATAAATGCCTTGACTTTCTGATCTGTTTGCAGCTGATGGAAAAGGGCCTTAAAGATTAAAATTAAAATTGTTGTTTCAACTTCTGACATTGATCCAATGCTGCTATCCCTAGGTGTGTTATTGCAGCTTTCATGGTCTTGGTAGCTCTGGTGCTACACCAGAAAGGACTCGCTTGTAGCATGTGCTTTGTTGTAGTTAATGAGGGGCATCCTGATATATTCTGTGTTCTAGGAAGTATGTCTTTACTTCCAGCTCATCTCTGAGTTGCTGTGGAAGAAATTTCAGTGTCTTGGTTTGTGGTTACTGTTAGTTCCCTATGTAAAGGCATGAAAAATGGAATAATGAGCATGGATGACATGAAATATTTCTCTATATGGGGAAGAATACAAGTCAGCGTATCTGTAAAAAGTTTTCCAGTTTTGGAGAAAGGAAGAAGAAGGTGGTCAAAGACAGGAAGGACGATCTGGGGAGCCTTGATTATTGTCTGCTGTTTTGTAACTTTTTTGTGCATTGCAGTCAGCCCCTTAATCTGCAGGGCTGTGAATGGGGCTGCCAGAAGCAGCAGTCTTTGTCTGAAAACTTGTTTCCTCCTGTCCTCATCCCAACAGGTATTTGATTCACAAAGTACTGCCCTTATACAGACTAGGTTGTGCCACAGCAGGTTCAGTTTAACCTGGACACATTTTCTGAACCAGTTTACATGAATAAGTGAATCCTTTGTGACATTGCAGAGGAAAAGGTCATCAGTGATGGGGCAGGGAGAGAGAGTAAGAAGCAGTTCCTGTTTCTACAAGCTTGCCGTGCCTGGGAAGCTTTGTCACAGGGTTTCCCTTTCCTTCTGTTTCCTACCTATAGAAATACCAGTATATACATGTAGAAGAAAGATTTGGTGAAAGACTGAGAGATGCTTTATATGCAGAGACGATAATAAACACAGTGATGATTAAATGAGTTCGGCCTTGCTTTTTTTGAGCGTTGCTTTTAAAAAAATTCAGTAGTGTTCAAGTTTTCTTAAATTAGGAATCAAATACATTCATTATTTTTTTGCTAAACTGTTTTATAAGGTGAGGTCAGACAGTGAGCAGGATTTATCAGAAGACATCACAGTTCTTTCAGAAAATGCTGTATGTGAAAAAATGGAAGCAATTACACCAAATCTGCAAAACTCTGAAGAAAAAAAGTTACATCCCAGCTTTCATGTGGCTCAAGAAAACAGACACCAGGAAATCTGGTCAGTCCTTGAAGGTGTATGGAATACAATAAACTTATACAGGTATAGTATACTAAAGAAGTTCAGGACTGCTACATAACCTTACATCATTTTCAAAGAAACACACCTTAGAAATTGGGTTTTCTTTCCTATTTTAGAGAAGAAGCTATTAGTAATTAAGCAAAATTGACAAAAAAGATATCACAGAACTTGTCACACTAAGAAGTTAGGAGCATGCAAATTGTTATCTGGATGCAGCCAGTGATCTGCTTAGGCTTCTGCTTCTCTTCTTCTGGACAGCAGCTGAAATAACTTACCTAAGAGAATGGTGTTGAAAACCCTGCAAGAGCACAGTTGTAGACATCCATGGAAATCTCATCTTCATCCATAAGAAAAAGAAAAAGCATTCAAGCTTTAAGTTTTCTTGTGATTATTTTCTCTCCAAATCCTGTGGAGGTATACTAGCCTATGTAAATTGTTTACTTTTTTAAAGCTTTAATAAATTTGAAATATAGCAAGTATTCTTGTTAAGCAAAGTCCTTCACTCTAAAATCTAAATGCAGAATCTAGCGATGAATTTTCTTTCTCATATAAACTTAAAATTGCATGATATTAAACTCCCCTCCATCTAGATGGTTTTCCATTGTTTTTATTTTGTTATTTTTGAAAAAGCTGCTTGAAGATCACTGAGATGCCATACTTTTGGATGCTATCACAAAATCTGAATAGATACTGTGTTTTCTTTTTGTAGTCTTATTCTGAAATCTTTTCAAAGAAGGGACTCTGAGTTATGGCAAGCACAAAGAAACCCTGTTTTTGGGGTTAAGGACTCCTAGTACACAGTAATAATAACTCTGCCAATGCGATTTCTACACTGGCATTTGAATGTATTGTAGAGCACCACCAGCGTACTCCTCTCGGCTTACACCAGTGCAAATTAATCTGAATTGAAGCTGGTTAGGAGTTGGCTTGGTGTGGTACTCGGATCAGCTGAGGATCTGCACCAGAGTACAGTCTCCTACTGGGTTAGTAATTGTGAATTTGAAGGTTTCTTACAGGCATTGAAGAAAAACTCTTTCAAGAGTACCACTTTATAATAAAAACGCACTGACCTGTTGGCTCTTGCCACCTCTTAAGGATCTGTGAAAAGAGGATAAAATTTTAGAATCAAAGGTCACTTCACACTTTTCTTGCTTATGTCAAGAAAATACCACTTAGCTCGCGACTGTGGAGATAATTCTTCATGAGTGCACTGCAGCTCATCCTCCCAACGTAGCCATTGCCAGAAAAGTGTCAAGCCCTGTCCAGTAAATCTGGAGAACAAAGCTGCTTGGAAAATTGATGGAAAGGACTTTGCTTTGCTCCTTTAACCTAACAGTTCTCTTCTAAGAGAGGCTTACTCAAGTGTGCTCAGGTCATGCATGAAGAGACTGTTTCATTCTCAAGTGAAGTTTAATGATAAATTATTTAAGTCAGAGGTAAAATACTGTTACAGAATGCAGTCGTCAAGGAAAATTTCTACAGCGAAATACAATTGTAGGGCATGGCTTTTCTGCTATTTAGTCTAAGACTACTTTAGATAACATGGCTTTACTACAGATTTACCTTGTTGGGTTTTTTTTGGATAGTCAAAATATGGTGCATACAGTAGATACTGTGCTTCTCTAAATTTTGAGGATTTTTATTATCTGCTTTTCAATGTCTCTTCTTTCTTTCTGTTTAACATTAGTATTGAAATTTTCCAAAAGTTGAACCCCAGCGCGCTAACTGCGACTGCAAAGTCTTCATTTGAGGAAGCTTTTTTACGTCTGCAGAAACTGTTGACAGCTGTGAATGATATCCGTGAAGGTATTAGTAGGTAAGCATTTAAGCTAGTGATCAAAGCTAGTGATAGTAGGTCACTTAGAGTCATAAAAGTCACTGAAATCTTTTGATGCCAAGCTACAATTTAATATGTGTGCTTGGTTACATAATTTTCAATAAAAATCTTGGTATCAAGGCTACTTAGAACCATTTCTTGGTAGCAAAAGAGTAAGAAACCGTTGCAGACATTCAGGTTTCTCATTGTGAATTTTCTCTTTTATGACGTGGGATTTGTTTTCCAGTATTTGATGATGAGCCACTTGCCTCTGCTCAGAGTGTAACTGGAGCTATGACATGATTAACTATACAATAGCTCTCATGGCAAGAACTTTAAATAATTCAGAACATTTGTTTTTCAAATGCAAGGCCCACTGGAATTTGAGCAAATATCTGATATAGTGAAGGACAAACTTTTGAGACTTCACTGTTACCAATTCTAGACTATTCTTTGTGAGTCAAAACCTATATTGCAGCAGTAACAATGACTTCAATCAGCTGGACTCTCACTTTAGGAAGGATAATATTTCCTCTGTCTTCCTTCTCCTTTGTTTTTTAAAGAGTACAGAATAATAAAAATGAAGCTTCAGATAGAATAAGGTATCACCTGTGTAGTCTTAGCTTAGTCCTTTTTTTATAGCAATGAAGTTTATTCACCAGCAGGAACAGCCACAGAAAAATGCTTTACATTGTCACTCTGATGATTGTGGAGTTCCTTAGCTTTCCACTGACTTTAAACAGCATTTGTAAGAACTGGTTTGTATAGAATCATAGAATGGTTTGAGTTGAAGGGACCTTAAAGAGCATCCCAAAGTCCAACCCCCTGCCGTGGTTAAAGTTCCAGTAACTACCGTGAGCATCTTGGAGTGTTACAGGCTGTGAATCTGAGTGGCTGGAGCTATTTGATTTGGGAAAACAATACAAATCGGCACAGATTTTTTTGCAAATAATGCAAATAGGTTAGAAAACTGTGCAATAGATGCATCCAAACAATTGCCCTTGTACGTTAACAATCTGCTTTTTAAGTAAATGTAGAGGTATATTACATTTTTACTATAAGTTGTTATAGCTTTGTTAGAGAATATCTAATAGGAACATAATTTTTTTTCAAGAAGTGTTTTTTCTATCATACTAACATGGTAGTGAGCTTTTAAACTTGCAGCTCTTTGCAGTGCCCATTACAATCTTTGCTGAAGGATCAACAGTCCTTATGCTCGAGTTATCACAACAGTCCTGCCAAGTACAGACAAATGGTTATCCCAGCTGTAAAGTGGGAGGTCTGACTTGTCAAGGCACTTCAAGATAGAGTGCAGGGATCTGGAGCTCTGTCACCTGGGATTTGAGCTAGTTTTAATCTGTAGCTGCTAGGGTATTTCTTTTATTTCCATAAAAATTATGATGGAATCACAACAACAAACGTTTGCTTCACTTGTCACCACTCCCAGAGAAGTTTTGTTGCTTTTTTTTCATTATGGTCAGAAGAATATTTCTTTAGTTAAAGTGGTTCAGTAAAATATATATTCTGTAAGCCCCAAACAAGCTTTAAGGTACACTCATGTGAAGTAGTGTGCTCACATGATCATAAAAGACCACCCCTGCATCAGTAGTATTACAGCCAAAGTTCTAGGTCTGATTTTTTTTCTGTACAGCACGCTAATAGTGGGATAAATCCATTCAAAGGTTTGTTGTCTTTCTTTCAAAGATAAATGGTCTAAATATTATGAAAGTTGAAACAGAAAAATATGGGAAGAAATGTAAGATAGAGCAGCTTTGTGATAATTGATTAATTTTCATTAGGTAGAGATTGGTTCTCCTTCCCCTCTGCTCTGCCCTGGTGAGACCACATCTGCAATATTGTGTTCAGTTCTGGGCCCCTCAGTTCAAGGACAGGAACTGCTTGAAAGAGTCCAGCAGGGCCACAAAGATGATTGAGGGAGTGGAGCATCTCCCTTATGAGGAGCGGCTGAGGGAGCTGGGTCTCTTTAGCTTGGAGCAGAGGAGACTGAGGGGAGACCTCATTCATGGGGATCAATTTGGAAAGGGCGAGTGTCAGGAGGAAGGAGCCAGGCTCTGCTCTGTGACAGACAATGACAGGACAAGGGGCAATGGTCCCAAGCTGGAGCATAGGAGGTTCAACCTGAACATGAGGAAAAACTTTTTTACTGTAACGGTGCCAGAGCATGGCCCAGGCTGCCCAGAGAGGTTGTGGAGTCTCCTTCTCTGCAGACATTCAAAACCCGCCTGGACGCGTTCCTGTGTGACCTGGTCTGGTGATCCTGCTCTGGCAGGGGTTGGGCTGGATGAGCTTTCCAGGTCCCTTCCAACTCCTAATATTCTGTGATTCATTGCTGTTTGTTTGGTTTTCTCTAAAGAAATCGTTTTAATAATCAGGCTACTGATAAACTTGCTTCTTTTAATTCCAGTCCTAAAGTTCTTTCAAGAAATCCTGTGGTATCAGTTTATACATGTGGTGGATGAGATTTAATGGGAATATGGTGCTTCAAGGTTGTTATTTCTGTGTTTCATTAAAACTTTGTGTGGCAATAACAAAGACATTTTGTATTTCTTTCAGTGAAAGCTGCTTACCTCCTGTATTTCCCCTTGTTGGAGTGCTCTGTAAAAATACAAAGATCTAACATTGTATCAGAGAAATCTATTTTAGAAGATATGTACTTTCTTGATAAGAGGCATTAGAATATCTACAGCAAAGATAAACAGAGTTCTGTCTTTTCTGTTCCACGTGATTACTGTGACACTCAATAACGTTTATTGAAATGGCTTTAAAAATTCCTTTCATACTTTTAAAAATTTTCTTTTCTACTACCGCTAAGCTGAAATGCACTATTTATGCATCCAGAGTGTTTCTCCAAGTGGAGTAATTTTCTTGCAAGGTTGCATTTGGGAATGCCTGACCTGAGGCAGTAGAGGGCATCGTGGAGCAAGAAATTCAGGGGGACCATAAAGTGTAATCTTCTGGTTTAGTCTTGGGTGTAAGCATTTAAGTTAGGGAGGCTCATTTTGTCTAAGTCGCTCAGTCTTTCGGAAACTGAACTTAGAGCATATTTATTTTTCTTGATTTTTGAAAAAAATCCTTTCAATGACTTATAGTTAATCTAATGATGTGGTTGCCCTAAAGGAGGCATCTGGAGAAAAAGTAGTGAAAAAGTTCTAGCTTGAGTATTTGGAGGTAATACAGCTTTTAGTGATAAAATACAAATGTTTTCTGTGTTACCTTTTGTCCAGAACAAAGAAGAGAGACAGTATCTTGTCAAATTTTGGAAGTTTTACAAATAAGTTATACTGAAAGTTCAACTGCATTAGTTCAGATTTGCAGATTGGTAAAAACAATTAGAAAAGCACAATCGCTCTTCTTGAGGTATTTGTGTGTAATGATACCCTTCCTCATAAAATGATGCTGTACTAGTGGCAGTACTACAGCTATTGAGAACTGATGACCAGAACATCTTTATGACAAATACAGATACTAAAAAAAGGGAAAAAAGAGCTGTTTCATGGAAGAGGTCTTACTAACATATGCTTTTTGCATCTTACCCTGTTTTTGTAGGTGTTTATAGTGCAGAATGGTATTTATACAGCAAAATACTGCATGCCATAAATGTTTTACAGTACTTCAGCACTAAAATGAGGACGATAACTAGTATGGTTAGCAACTGTGAATAGCTTACCTGTGTCTTTTGACTTTTTTTTCAGAAGGAATGTATTTAAACAAGTTTGTGTTTGTTGTCTCATCGAATATAGCTGATCCTCACAGCCATTGTTGTATCAGTGTGTTCTTGAGATTGACGCAAAAAGTGAGCATGAAATAGCTATTTTCTACTTTTGACAGCAGAGGGTGTTACATATGTTGATGTATATTATGTTATTATTAGATTATTAAATCCCTGAAATTTATACTTCAAGTCAAAAGTGTAAAACCATGACATGTTTTAAAATAATTTTGGATTGAATAATATTTCTGGCTGTTTTCAATTATTTTTATGTGTGTTGGGTAGTATTTGGAACCAGTTAACTAGGGAACCTAATTTAAGGTCTCTTACAGTAAATTTTTACAATAAATTAAAATAATTATCTTTAAAAACCTTTAAAATAATTGCTCTGTTTTCAAGTAGATCTTTGAGGCAACAGAAGTATTTCTACAACTCAGAGTGTTCAACTGTGTGCCAAACCCTTCATCGCTTGTAAAGATTCTTCTGCTAATTCTGCTGGAAGGTGTTTGGGCACTTCGTCTTTGGAGAGAAGAGAGGTTTAAGCACTTTTACAGATCTTGTTCTAGGAAGTGCAGAGTGCCTTGCAAGGTGTTTCTGTTGGGGGTTTATATACTCAATATATATTTGACTCTACTTGTTAGCTTCTCTCCAATTTCGGTGTGCAGGGCGTGTTTCTCTCTTAACCTGTTGCAATTAATGTGTGCACCAACGCCAGGAGAAGGCTGGAAGTGCTCATAGGATTTTTGCAGAGGAAGAAAAAAAAAAAAGATTAGTCTTTGATGTATTGATAAACTTATTTCTAGTTTGAGCTTTTTCATCCATTAGCTAAGAGAAAATTGTTTTGTTCACATGCCAACTTTGAAATCACTCACAATTTACAGCATATACTCTTAGATACAATACTCATAAATATCTGTACTAATATTTTTCAGCTGTAAAAATATTTATCTGCTACTTGCTGCAGTAAGTTACCTGAATTCTGCTTTTCTAATATATTATCTAAATAGGATTTCTCTCAAATTCCCAGTGATTTTGTTTGTTTGCAAAGCATTGATTTAGACGAGAGCTCTATAAACATTTGTAAATAAAAAGTATAATTTTAAAGATCTCAGTAGTACAGTAAAGCATTACTGTATTAGAACTGATCACTGAATTGACTGTTTTGGGATTAAATAATTTGAAACCATTTTCACTAATTTACTAATCTGCAGAACTCGACAGATGTAGAGAAACTCTTTCCTCTTTGTTTATTCAGCTGGTCAGCGGAGGA